ACTTCAAATTTAATTATGTACTTAAATTAAAAGCATTAGTTCTGTTTCATCTTCAAGCAAATTTTGGAATAACTTATTTTTAAATTTACTGAGTTTAAAACGCACATATAAATTCATAATTTACTGTTTCCAAGGATACAGAGAAATCCAATCATTTAGATAGGGGCGGTAGCGTGTTCATTTTTATTAACTATTGTTGTATCAATTATGAGTTATGTTCGAAAAAGAGGTTAAGTTTACGGAGGGTAGGGGCGTATTTTTCAACGAATTCTGACATCCGTTAAATGCATGTCGTCTGGGTTTTTTGTTTTAACTATTAACGACAAAAAGGTTTTACGGCATTTTTTTTTAAATTCGTATTTGTATGAATTAAATATTCTTTCTAAAAGGTGTTTGTATTTATTTATTTACGTTATATTTAACTACAATTTTAAATTATTTTTACTCTGAATTACCAATAGACTATATTTCTTTTTAAATCAAGTAAATGTAATAGAATTACTTAGATTATTTAAAAATTATTTTTGCATATCAAATATAAGTATGCATATTACCAGCTCCCATTTTTTTAAAATGTGCATATTTATATGAGTTTGATTTTTAGCATAGGTCAATTTCAATTGGTTAACCACGGCAAAGCTCACAAGTATTCTGCTTTTGAAATTAAATTAACCTTTTGTTCGACAGTGGTTTGACATCGCCCGATATAGGCACATTTTATTTTTGAATATATGATTGTAATTATTCTTTTTGATTTTTAACATGTCATTGTTTAAATATCCTAAAATAAACAATATTTAGCTCTACTCTGTACTGAGCCCTCTTTTAAATTAAATGTTACGTACATGGAATTATATTCCATTTGTTCTCATTTATTTATATATATATATATATATATATATATATATATATATATATATATATATATATATATATATATATACAAACCTCTCATGCAACAAACTAATAATAATGAATTTTTGAGTGGACCGTTAAAAAAAATTCTCCGTAGATAGGAAGGGGTCATTTTTGAGTTATAAAACCACTATAGCAACTTCCAGTAGTTACAATCATAATTTAAATACTATAAGCATGTATATATGGCATAAATAAATATATATTACCATACTGTATATATATATATATATATATATATATATATATATATATATATATTTTATATAATTAGATTTTAGAGCTACTTTCTTCAAAAAATAATGCACCGTACTTTATATACTGTACACTTGCCTTTGTTTACAATTGAAAGGCCCGCCACCGCCGACAAGCGGTCACTTTGAGAACTAATAAGACTCTTTCTGCTAAGTCCGCAAATTTTGAAATACATCGTTAACGATTTGGAGTTTTTTCCCCCAAAAGAGTGCTTCCCCAATGCCTACATTCTTAACCACTTCAAGATTTGCTTTGGTTTGGTTTGTTTTACGGCATATCAACCTCAATGGGTTATTTAATGCCGACAAAATTTTTATTGCTGGTATTTTTTTCAAAAACGTAGTGTTGGTAATATTTTTTTTTAATGTATTGCTGGTAATAATGTGATGCTGGTAATATGCGTTGCTGGTAATAATTTTTCTTCAAACATTTATTGCTGGTAATAATATTTTACAAAGTATTTCTGGTATTAAAAACTATTTTTACACTTTCATAGTGTTTAGACCCCAGTTTGGTGGGGGTCAACTATATGCCCATAGCTGGGACCCTAACAGGTGCTACCACTCCAAGTCAAGATGTACCTGGGAGCACCAGCAATTAAGAGGTGGTTCTACGCTCCTCAAAACCTCCTAATCAGAGGTCTTGCTATTGGACGTCTTTCCGGTTTTATTTATGTAGTTTATCGTCTTACCCAGGACGCGGATGTAATTTATCGTCATACCACAGGACGAATATATATATATATATATATATATATATATATATATATATATATATATATTTTAAATGGATTGATGTGAGTTTGTTAGCTCTATCTCTGATATTGAGCGCTTTCTAATAAATACCGCATATAATATATAAATAATTATATATATATATATATTTATTTTTTTTATTATATACGCACATTTTTCAAGATATATATATATATATATATATATATATATATATATATATATGAGAGAGAGAGAGAGAGAGAGAGATGAACAGACAATGGACCGATTAGCTATGAACAGACTGGGACAGATAATAGATAGATAGATAGATAGATAGATAGATAGATAGATAGATAGATAGATAGATAGATCTCTTTCTCTCTCCCTGTGCATCTTTAAAACAACTTGCTTTTAAAATACAAGTTTATTTCTGCCAAAATGTTTCAAATAAAAAATAGTAATGAAGGCGGGAATTTTGAGTCAATCACTATTTTCGATTTATTTACTTGTTCAATTTTAATAAGTAATAGGATGCGTATAAATGTTTTGCATGAAAAAAAAAAGTCTTGACTGGATTTATATCACTCCTCCTACTTCTTGCAGTTTCATTGGCTATATTTTCTCTTTTGTTACAATGGCGTCCCGATGTGAATAAACCTCATTTCAATGTGAATCTTGATGAAAAGTACGATACATTACCGCGTGCGTGAGAAAGTAGCTGTGAAAAATCTATTATTTATACAGTATATATATATATATATATATATATATATATATACATAGCATATATATATATAGCATATATTTATTTATGATATATATACATTTTATAAATATTTACATTATGATTGTAACTACTGGTAGTTGCTATAGTGGTTTTATAACTCAAAAAATGACCCCTTCCTATCTACGGAGAATCGGCTTTAACGGTCCACCGCTCTGCACTATTAGTCCATTGCTGGGTTTTTGTCTATATATATATATATATATATATATATATATATATATATATATATATATATATATTCAACATCATCAAAATAAAGATAAATAAGCCCCGAGGGTGTAGAAACAAAATGGCTATTTTTAAAATAGTGATTTTATGACATATTTATGTTATTATTTTTTTTTTTATAAAAAATAATTATATATATACATATGGGGGGGTACAGATGTGTTCACTAATTCTTCGTAGTGAGACAGTGTGTATGTATGGAGAGGGGATATACACATATATACACGCATGCTGACAAAAGCACACGAAAATGGAAATAGATCTAAGGACAAACAGGGGCCATTAAAAGATAAGCATGCCGATAACTACTCCATCATTTCTCGAACTCATCTTCATTGTTTAGTAACCCTTCACGCAGAACTTTTCACTGCCAGTTCAAGAAAGACATTTGGATCACTAACACAAAAAAGAAAATGTCTCATATCGAGAATATTTAACATCGAAAAACATGAAGAAAAAAATTAATTATTTTTAATAATATGTGGAAATCTCCACTCTTTGCCTGACGAGGGTTGCGAGACCAGAAACTCGTGTAGCGAAATTATGGAAAATAAAGCATAATATTTTATTAAAAATCCTCATTACAACCAAAAACGTTTGCGGTTTCTCTCTTCTTTTTAATATACACTTTTCTCTCGTTGAAACTACTATAACCTCTTCCTTTCACACACACACACACACACATATATATATATATATATATATATATATATATATATATATATATATATAATTGGTTGGTATATTACGGAATGAATTCCAATAACCAACAATTACTATTCTTAAAAGAGTGCTCAATACAAATAGTAGAGCAGATATAATTATTTTTTAAAAAATTTATAACATAAGTATGTTATAAAATCACTACAAAATAGCCATTTTGTTTAAAACACTCTGTGTCTTATCAAGTGATAGTGTTGAAAAATAAATGGCATTTTTATATATATTTATAACATACTTATGTTATAAATTTTTTTAAAAAAATAATTATATCATAATATATATATATATATATATATATATATATATATATATAGGTAAATGAGAACAAATGGAGTATAATTCCACAGTAAGTAATATTTAATTTAAAAGCAGGGGCTTAATCCAGAGAACACCTAAATACTTATTTTAGAATATTAAAACAAAGACATGTTAAAAATCGCAACAAATTGCAATTATGCTTCAATATCCCAAATGTGTCTACTCGGGCGATGTCAAACCTCTGTCGAACGAAAGATTAATTTAATTTCAAAAACAGAATACTTTAAAAGACTTGTGCGCTTTGCCGTGATTAACCAATCGAAAGTGACCTATGCTAAAAATCAAACACATAATATATATATATATATATATATATGCACATTTTCATATATATATATATATATATATATATATATATAGAGAGAGAGAGAGAGAGAGAGAGAGTTGTATATTTAAGCAGCAATCCTTCGTTTATCCATGTTTCATTAACAACAACAGACAAGGTTCTACGGTTAAGCTTTTTATTTAATTTTTCTTGTTTTCGAACAAGAGCTTTCTTTACTAGACAAAGTGTGTGTTAAAACGGACTTTATTTCTCTCTTGTCGTTTTTCATCAGACGTTCGGCCTGATGAAATGCCACCAGAGAGACTCATCCATTCTGACCACCTCTGGTATTTCGCATGCGTCAGCAACTGAAGTCGATCTCTCATCAGAAATGAAAAGTACACGCCGACCTGTTTGATGTGACAAACGACAACCATGAAAACAAATTCTATGTTTGAAGACAGCGAAAACCTCCGTGCACTCATACAAGAAGAGATTTTTTTTTCTTTCTTCCCCTCTGCTATGACGACCAGGTTTCTAGTAGCAAAACTGATCATCCGTCTAGTGAATTCCAATGCTAAAGTCACATCTAGAGATGTGAATATCTGCACTGATTATATTTTCCTTAATAAAACTCGAGTTGATTGAACATTTGTAGGATATGATTAAAAATACGGCCGCCTTGTGATTGTAAGTCGACCTAGTGTCTTGAATCAAATGGAAATCTGGTGAACCGTGATTTCGTTTTAGTTATTTGCATTCTGCCGAAAAATCACGGTGAAAGTAGGTGCTTTCAGTTGCTTACACTAGCGACTGGGGTGCGTCTGTTGCAGGTAAAAAGGTGCAAGAATGAATTGCCACTACTCTGATATTGATGACTAATGATGATGCGATAAATAGATATGAACAATAAGATAGATAGATAGATAGATAGATAGATAGATAGATAGATAGATAGATAGATAGATTGGGATGTGGGGATGATAGATAGATAGATAGATAGATAGATAGATAGATAGATAGATAGATGGAATGGGATGTTGGGATGTGAGTATGGAATGAGATAGATAGATAGATAGAGATAGATAGATAGATAGATAGATAGATAGATAGATAGATAGATTGGGATGTAGGGATGGAATGATAGATAGATAGATAGATAGATAGATAGATAGATAGATAGATAGATAGATAGATAGATAGATTGGGATGTAGGGATGGAATGAGATAGATAGATAGATAGATAGATAGATAGATAGATAGATAGATAGATAGATAGATAGATAGATAGATTGGGATGTAGGGATGGAATGAGATAGATAGATAGATAGATAGATGAATAGATAGATAGATAGATAGATAGATAGATAGGGATAGGGTTGGAGATAATATGACTGGAATGAACAGACTGGGATAGATATTTGAACAGACTGGAATAGATAGATAGATAGATAGATAGATAGATAGATAGATAGATAGCTTTGAACAGACTGGAATAGATAGATAGATAGATAGATAGATAGATAGATAGATAGATAGATAGATAGATATGAACAGACTGGGATATATAGAGAGAAAGAGAGAGAGATGAACAGACTGGGATATACAGAGAGAAAGAGAGAGAGATGAACAGACTGGGATATATAGAGAGAAAGAGAGAGAGATGAACAGACTGGGATAGATAGCTATGAACAGACTGGAATAGATAGATAGATAGATAGATAGATAGATAGATAGATAGATAGATAGATAGATAGATAGATAACAATATAAGTTCATCCTCGCAGTAGTTAATCACCAAATGATTAATATCAAATGCCATTATAAGCAAGTATTTATATCGACATGTGCCTACAAATGCAAATATTTTAGGCTAAATCTATCGATCTATCGATCCCTTTTCATAACAAATATTCTAGCATTTCTCGTTTGCTAAGCATTACCCTCCAACTGTTGTCCACGAATTTGTCTGCAATTGTGTGTGTATGTATTTACGTAAACATTATGTAGGTGAGCGTGAAGATTTCTGTGTAGGGGAAATGTGTAAGTAAAACGTATATAAACGATGAAAGAAACACAGGCAAAATTGCAGACATACATCTGTGTAAACTGAAGTGCCAACACCTTAGATGTAACAGTAGATTGGATAGCGTTTGCCTTGGAGAAAGGGATTTAGATGATGTAGTTGTAGCCTTCATGAAACGCGGACTGGATTATGTATTTGGGGGGGGGCTGAGAAATGAATATTGGAGTCAGAAAGATGAATTAAAGGCTCTCTCTCTCTCTCTCTCTCTCTCTCTCTCTCTCACTTTCTCTTTTTCTCTCTCTTTTTCACACTCTCTCTCTCTTTGTCATTGTCTCTCTTTCTCTTTATCACTCTCTCTCTTTTTCTCTCTCTCGCTCTTTCTTTCTCTTTCTTACTTTCTCTTTCTCAATCTCTCTTTCTCACTCTCTCTATCTATCTCTCTCTTTCGCTTTCTCTCTTTCTCTCCATCTTTCTCTCTCTCCCTCTCCCTCTCTTTCTCATTGTCTCTCTTTCTCTTTATCACTTTCTCTCTCTCTTTCCCACTCTCTCCCTTTCTCCCTTTCTTCCTCTTTATCTATCTATCTATCTATCTATCGCCCTATCGCTTTCTCTCTATCTCTCTCTTTCTCACTCTCTCTCTCTTTCTCACTCTCTCTCTCGCTTTCTCTCTCTCTCGCTTTCACTCTTTCGCTTTCTGACTCTCCCTCTCTTTCTCATGGTCTCTCTCTTTCTTTTTACCACTCACTCTCTTTCTCACTTTCTCTCTCTCTCTCTCTCTCTCTCTCTCTCTCTCTGAGGTTGTTACTGTTCTCCAAAACTCACTGTCTATGCACTTGCTATTGTTAATAGAGAAAAACCCAGAACAGCGGCAACCCCAGAGAGAGAGAGAGAGAGAGAGAGAGAGAGAATGAGAGAGAGAGAGAGAATGAGAGAGAGTGAGAAACAGACACCAGTGATAATTAAAATCTTCGATCACCCCCACTCCGCCCAATGATGCAAGAACGGAACTGCATAACGACTGACCACGATATCCCCCCCACCCAAAAAAAAATACATCATTGCATCAAATCATATCTCATTTCAACACAGGTGCCTCTCAAGCTGTTAGTCAATGCACTGTATTCCATGGAGTTTTCTAGTTGTCGACTAACAAGTGTACAACTATTGCCACAACGGAATCAGCGCCAGAAACAACAGCCATTGAAGATTGGTACTGAGTCGCCTAATTATACGAGTCACACTTCCAGCTCTTTTGGGCCAATGGTGAAAGAGTTCGTGCGTGGAGTATACCGCATGAGGCTATGGATCCAGCCTGTCAACTGGGTGTAGGTTTCAACTGGTGGTGGTTCTGTAATTGTATGGGTTTAGTATGTTGCAGTTGCAAGGACAAGTAAAACTGAGATCGTCTGTTCCAGTAAAATCAAGAAACCTCCTGTCGTGTACAGATAACGTAAAGCCGTTTTCCATAAACACCAAAATAGATACCAGTCACTCTCTATTGACCTTCGAACTCACCAGATTTAGTCTCCATTAAGAATGTATGGGACTTATTGTTAATCTCGCTAAATCCATTGCATTCAACACTAATCACGGTTATGGACAACCATAGCACATGCCTGTAAGAGGGGGTGCTGAAAAGTTCTCGGTCATATCCACTTCCCAAAATCTGACCAAATATCAGGATTGGTGGGAAAGAGCTTTTTTGTTCGGCCAAGATGTTTTCAGCATTGCCTCATATAGCTTCTGTCTACACAACGATTTCAGCCACTCATTTTATAAAGATTAAAATAAATCCCCAAAATTTGAATAACAAACAATACTTTTTATTACATGGAGATCGAATAAAACTATTGGAGATAGATAGATAGATAGATAGATAGATAGATAGATAGATAGATAGATAGGGATGTAGGGATGGAATGAGATAGATAGATAGATAGATAGATAGATAGATAGATAGATAGATAGATAGATAGATAGATAGATAGATATGAAAAGACTAAAAGAGAAAGATGGGAAGAGAGGAAGACATATTAATAGATGAGAACAGATATAAAATCATAGGCAAAAGATTAAAAATAAATCCCAACATTTCATTAACAAACAAAACTATATATCTATTAAACCTATTGACATTTCTTTCTCTTTACCTTTTCACTTTGGATATTTTTTTTTTACTTTTATTCAACAAATGAACAAGAATATTTTCAAGTTAATCTAAAGCTTTATACAATGATCTTTATTCGTAGACACGTTCTTATGAAAATTTCTCTATATGACAAAGGATGTGAATAGATTTATCTTTTCAACAATATGTATACATGGGTGTGTATGTGTTGCTATATCGATCAATAAATCCGCAACCTGATATGTAGATATTAGCTGAAATTTAATAAAAAGGAAAAAAAAAAGAAACGTTACGATAATTTTCGATCAATTTGATTAATGAAGAATCGTTGGATTAAGTGTGCTGTTTGATATATGGAAATTGTCACCTTTGATAATGGCTTATGTAAGCCGAAAGTTTAGATAGGATTTAAACATGTATCAATATGGTGATTTCCTTTCGTCTTTCAATGATAAGGTTATTAAACTTATCAGACAATATGAAAGGAACTTACTTAAAATAAATGGACAAAAATTGTCTATATTATTTAATGAAGCATGCATTAATATATATATATATATATATATATATATATATATATATATATATATATATATATATATATATATATAAATTATTCGTACACCTAACAATTTTTAATATTTTTATCTATTTCTAAGAATAGAATGCCAGGTTTTCATATTTTAATAACTACACAAAAGGAACATAAACTCAATTTTCAGAACAATAGTTTAATACAACAAATTTGACAGGCGAATTATGCAAAATAGGAAAAGACAAAATTATTCGTACAGTATGAAAAATAGAAAAAATTGAACAATTTTCACAATATTAATAGTCAATAGCATGGCGTCTCATCTTTATAATTTACTGCAATAGTTTTCTAAAGACTTTCATGAGATTTGAAAAAGTCTTTTCTGGGATTTTTTTGCATTCTTCAATGGTTACACATTCTAATTCCTGAAGGTTTTTTTTTTTTTTTTGGTGACCGACGATTTATTCGACCTTTCAATTCTTGTCATAGATTTTCAATAGGATTCAAGTCAGGACTCCTTGAAGGCCATGACAGAACTGTAAATTTTTTTCTGGAGCCTCGCAGTGACTGATTTAAACGTCTGTTTGGGATCATTATCTTGCTGGAAAATAAATCGCCAACTTGGTAAATATAGATTTTCATCCAGAATTTGGATATAGTTTACAGATTTCATTATTCCTCTTATTGCAATTAATTGTTCAGCTTCACTTGAGCTAAAACAAATCCAAAACATCGAGCCGCCACCATGTTTTAATGTTGCCACTGTGTTCTTTGGAAGGAAAGTCTGCCCTTTCTTGCACTAAATCTTCTGTACATCATTATGACCAAAAAGCTCAATTTTTGTTTCATCACTCCATAGTCCTTGTTCCCAAAAGCAATTTTCTTTGTTCAAGAACATTTTGGCAAAATTAAACCGATCAACAATGTGACATGATTTGTGAAGAGAGGTTCATCATGGTCAGTTTCCATACAACCCATTTCTATTTAACCAATATTGTATTGTGCGAGTACTTACGCTGATACTCACCGTATCCAAACTTTTGGCGATGTCTTTAAAAACAACTCTTTGGTATATATTAACCTCCCGACACAGTTTTCGTGCAGTTCTCAGTGACAATTTGGGTTTTCTTCCACGCCCGGACAAATTCACTGTCGTTCCAAACTCCTTTAGAACGGACTGTACCGTAGATCTAGGGATATCTAACCGGTTTGAAATATGCTGTAACTATTTCTCAACTTGTGGAATTTAATAATTTTCTGTCTCAAGTCAACGCTAAACTCCTTTGTCTTCTCCATCGTGTTGTTAATGTAAGAATAACAATGGTGACATTCTATGCACCACGTGATGTTTCTTTTTGCTGGAATTATCACAAATATTCTAATGAATAAATAGTCAAGAAGGCTTCACCGATAAAATAGTTATGTAAATTACTTATACTTACACGAATCAATCAATTTAAAACTATATTATCTACTGTACGAATAATTTCGTCTTTTCCTATTTTGCATAATTCGCCTATCAAATTTGTTGTATTTGATCTATTGTTCTGAAATTTGAGTTTTATTTTCGTTTTTGCGGGTTAATTAATATATAAACAAAACCTGGCAACATACGGGCATTAGATTCTGAGAAATGGATAAAAATTCAAAATTGATCGGTGTACGAATATTTCATATATATATATATATATATATATATATATATATATATATATATATATATATATATATGAAATTATTCGTATCATATATATATTTTGAATATTACGCGTACGCAATTGTTTTTATATGAAAATATGTGTTCTTTTAAAATATTTTAATATTTACATAAATATATATATTGGATATATACATAATATATATATATATATATATATATTTATTTATAAAATATAAATATATTATATATATATATATATATATATATATATATATAACGTTTTTACAAAAAATGTGTTAAAAAACTTCGAGTCAAAATCTTCTTGTGGGTGTGTTTCTATAAAACATTTATATTCATATATAAATGTGTTGGGGGGGAGTTACTTTTTAGTCCGAGGTTGTCATGTCTTAATGATTGATGATTAATGATTATTTTTAGATTATTTTTATAAATAAAATCCATTTAACGATAATTTGAATTGATCAGAAGAATTCCTCTTAAAAAAAATTATATATAAATACATTCAACCCAATAAAACAAAAAGATAACATGAATATATGGCCATTTTTATTTTTCAACTTTGATTGAAAATTTCTTTATTTGATGGAAATCGTGGAAACACTTTTGGCGTCATATCAGTTAGATTTGATGAATCTAATAGATAAATGCAATAGATAGATAGATAGATAGATAGATAGATTCCTGGATTCTTTTAGATAGATAGATACATAGGAAGATATTTTATATATAGATAGATAGATAGATAAATAGATAGATAGATGAAAAGATAGATAGATAGATAGGAAGAGAAATAGGATAGATAGATATAATAGATTTTTGTAAATAGATTTTCTAGATAGATTTCTTGATATATATATATTTGTATAATGAACGGAGATAGATAGATATATAATATATAGATAGATACTTGATAACATAAATAGATAGATTAATATTTGGATAATATTTAACATGGAAAGAGATAGATATATAGATACATAGGAAGAAATAAAATATAGATAGATAGATAGATAGATAGATAGATATGATAGATATATAGAATAGATAGATAGATTGAAGAATAGGATAGATAGATAGATATTATAGATAGATTTTTTAATGATAAATAGATAATAATTGAACGGAATTTTTTGATAAATTTCCATAGATTTTTTAGATGAATGATAGATAAATGATAGAATAGATAATAGATTATAAATAAAGATTGAGATAGATAATGATAATAGAAACATATGGATATAATGGAATTCTAATAGATTAGATTCATAGGAAGACAAGGATAATAGATAGATAGATAGATATATAGATAGATATATAGATAATTAGATGCATTGATAGATAGGAACCTTACATTTATGATAACATGCATAAAAATAGATAAAAAAAAACATACATTACAGCATATACATTATCTCACATACAACATAATAGGAAGAAGACTAGGATAGATAATAAAATAGATAGATAGATAGATAGATAGATAGATAGATAGATTAAATTATTTTCCGAATAATCATTATAAATTCGATTTGATAACACTTATCTACTCAGAGTTAGTATCGATAATTAATTCTAACTTGTTAAAATAGTATTTTATTTCTATAATTATCAATAAAATTTATTATAATGAAAGTATATGTATTCTAAAAAATATAAAAATAACAACCGACGTTTCTTATTTATATATCAAAATTGCTTGTAATCATTGTCTGCAGCATTAAATATGGCGTCTACATCGCTCAACTTGAGTATTGTCAACTATTCCTCCGAGTAGAATCGTTTTAAATCATTCAGATTCGATGACTTTTTCAATATGAAAGCAATTTTTTCCCATAATTTACAAAAAAATTGATAGCGATAAAAAAACATCAGTCACAAGACTCTTTCGATGCTGAGTCTGCCTAAATTGCATCGTGTCTGACGACGGTATCTCCAGCGAAAGGAAACAAAGGTTCGAATCCTTCAGGAGGGTGCATTATTTTATTTGATAAGATTTCTCAGCTATTCAGGTCGGGAGATGAAAAATAAATAAATATTCTGTTTAAAAAATAGACGGGGCATCTACTTATATATGGATATCCATTAAAAATAGCGTTTAAAGTGATAAAAACTGTCGACTTAATAAATATAAACTCATTCTTTTAAAATTGCTGTTCATGTTTGGATACGAAACTAAACAGATATGAACTTTCGAGAAAGTGGGAAGGATTTTTCTTTATAAATCACTGATTGTCGAAACTCTATCGTTTAAAAACGAAAAAAAAAAAAAAATGGATTGTTCTTTCAGTGATATCGAATTTTGTCGGATTTTTTGATTTTTCTTTAATTTTCAAAAAGAATATTTAGGCCGATAGACGGAAATAAATAAACTGTTTAATAAATAAACCCAAATATGGGTATCTTTAAAAATATATATATATATATATATATATATATATATATATATATATATATATATATATATATGCATATATGTATATATATATATATATATATATATATATATTGTAATATATATCTATATATATATATATATATCTATTTATAAATATAATGTATATATATATATATATAATATTTGATAAATGAATATATATATATATATATATATATATCTATTCTCATTATAATTTATATATATATATATATATATATAAATCCACGTTTTTTCCTGCCTATATATATATATATATATCTGTTTAAAAGACAATATATATATATATATATATATATATATATATATATATATATATATTCTATATATATATATATATATATATATATATATATATATATATATATATATATATATATATATATATATATATAAATATATATATATATATATATATTTGACAAAATGGTTATATTTATATATATATATATATATATATATATATATAATCCCGCGATTTATATATATATATATATTTTGTGGAGTGATTATATATATATATATATATATATATATGTGTAAATATATATATATATATATATATATATATATATATATATATATATATATATATCTGTGCGTTGTATATATATATATATACATACACACATAAACAAAGTAAATAAGAAAATCAAGTTAACGATAAGTCCATTTTGATTGATTTGAATTTGTTTTGCTTTGTATTTGCTCGTTGGATAATTTCTCTCAAGCCTTCCCCTAAAATAGTTTAACATTTGTTTTTATTATTAATTACATATATTTGTTGTAAATAAATGTTTTATTAAACTGAATGCCCTCGTCTTATGTTTGTTTTTCTTTGGTCTCATTATATAATATATATATATATATATATGAAATGGACAAAGTCCGACAATTATTTTAAGATATTTTTATGTTTATATATAGTCTTTTTATAGATACAAATATTTAAGTAAATGCTCTGTTTATAATAATTGTTTAAATTTGAATACGCATTGAGCAGATATGAATGTACGTGAGAGATTCATGGAAGATTGAAGTTTAAACACAGTAAATTCGACTTTGCTAACATGAACGCTCCTCCGTGGCCAAATCGGTAAAATTTAAAGTTTTTAAATGACATAAATATAGGATACAGGTTCGAATCCTGTCGGAGGACGAATATTTTCTGTCAAAATTTAAAAACATTCAGGCCGGTAAATGTTGTCTTATACTGTTTATTATAAACAGAGCATTTACTTAAATATTTGTATCTATAAAAACAAAGTTAAACATAAAAATGTCTTGATATATATATGCTGTTTGAATTAATGTTTTTCAGCAAATTCACAGCCTTTACGTTATCATTTCCAGGTTCTGTCCTTGAACATTATATGCCACTCCCATATGATTCTATCAGTGACAACGTCATCAAGCAAAAACTCTCCGAGGTAAGAAATATCATTTTCAACTAATACAAAACTTCAAAAGATTTTTCAAAAATCCTTCTCTTGTCTCACTTTTATAGAAAAGGCAAAACAAAGAAAAAACATGAAATTAGAAAAAGTAAATTGTTTAAATCGTTTTGTTTTAAAGTATGCGCACATCCGTTCGATTGCCAACAATTAAGAAAACACAAGACATAAATAACCCATGAATTCTACAAAACGATTCCTTCATCGGAAATGCACCAGGCAATTTATAAAAATAAATATTTCAGACAGAGATACAGAAGGATAGATATAAGAGCAAACTTGATTCTGATTAGGACCAACAAATGGATGCCATGTTACGTATGACTGTGAACTCAATAAAACGAGGCTCAAATCATTGTATAAAAATTTTATATAAAAACATTGTCATCCGTTTTTTCTGCTGTTGTCAACGGATAGAGAGAATTAGTTACATCTCTTACAACACGTAATTCAAGAAACCTTTTATTGTATCCTTTAAAGAGGTTACAAACATACAAAAAAAATTACTCGAAAAAAAATTCAAGGAAAATATGCAACACGCGCGTAGATGACAAAAGAAAATTTTGTAAAAAGAGAATACACTACTGAAAGACGGAGAATCGATTAGCAGGCTTGATTTTTTTTCTCAAGTCAGATTTAATATGGAGTAAAATTTCCGTATGGTGCTCGGCCAAAAATTCCCCGTATAAAACAGGGGTCGGCTAGGTGTTTCACGAGACGAGACTTTACCCTTCTACATATAATCGTCTGTTCAGATCCTCTCTGCCCCGAGACATAGAGTTGAAATGATGCCAGCACAGCTGGAGACGAATCTCTAACTCTTTTTTAATTTCTAAACAATATCTACCAACCACCCTTTTCTTCAGATGTGGCACAATGCCTAATTTAATGTGGGGTCTCCGAGACCGTAGGCTCGGCCCAAAATTCCTCGGTTTATACGAATTATATAGGATCTTGATCTTATACATTCAATAAATAGAAATTATTCTTATTTTTTTGTATTGTTTTGCTGGCAATGATTTTCATAATTAATAGCAACTGATTGGCGCGCTTTAAAATCTAGGTCAATTGTTAGCACATCAGAACAAAAAGTCTAAGGCTTTCTATTTAAATCACATTAATACATGTGTGGGTTTTTTTAGTGCTACAGATCATGATTAAATCTACTGGTTCCACTCGTACAAAAAATTTGGAAATATTTTTTCTCGATTAGCATTCTTTAGACCTTCCTTAGGCCCCGGCCGTTTATAGAATGGAAAAACGCGATTTAAAAACGAGGTCCTCTTTATAATATTGATACGGTGTTAAACATTTATCTGACTTTAACAGAGTTATTAGATTAGCCATCTTCGGCAGGTTCCTGTCTGAAAGCGTTATTTTTTCTCGAATCTTCAGGTAGGTACACGAAAGTAAATAAATATACTAAATAAATAGGTTTTACTCAAATATATCCATAAAAATAACATTTAACCAATAAAAATCTTTCGGATCAGTGTATAAAAAAATCTATGCCCTTTTTTTGAACACACACACACAAATAATACATACATACATACATAATAATACACACACATATATATATATATATATTATATTTTCAAAATTATAATTTTTAATTATATTTGTGACCTTGGGTTTTTCTTTATAGAGATCATCAGACAAACTTTCTTATTTTTTAAAAACTGAATCTATGGACTAAATTTTTTTTTTTATTTAAAAATTCTCATCTGTGTCTGTTTTTCATTGGCACTCTCATACAATAGACACACATTTACAGGTGTACCTATTATAGTTCACACAAAAAATAATATATAAACTCATATCTATACAATCTGACTATGTTAATGCTCTAATCACTGAATATTGAGTACTTTCCACTAAGTATCAAAATATATTTATGTCTATAAATATATATATATATATATATAATATATATATATATACATATATATATATATATATATATATATATATATATATATATATATATAGTTTTAAAATTGAACTGTTTTTAGGTGTCAAAATTGCATTACATTTTCCATAGTTTACTGGTATTTTTAAAATTTTTTTTTTTTTTTGCATGTTTTGATATCCTTCATGATATATATATATATATATATATATATATATATATATATATATATATATATATATATATGTATATACAGGGTGTCCATAAAGTTCGTGTGAACTTTAAAAAATTTATAACTTTATTTGTATTTGCGTTAGAAATAATTTGTAAAAAGGATTAGAAAGAAGTAAATCTATATTTTTTAAAGTTTTATTGAAATTTTATTTAAGTTTCCACATGTCCTCCATCATTAGCAATACAAAAAAAATACGA